GTAATGTAAGCACGTTTGAGGTAAAAAAGTTTATGATAGCTACTAATAAACAGAAGAAAAAAATTATGATATGTAAGAATTGAACTTGCGTGGTAACACAGTATGGCAGTTCTTTAGAAGGAGTTAATGGCTTTCCCACTGCATTCCTTCTCCAGTATGTGTCTTTGTAGCATTGGCACTTTTATCATGAAGCCACATTTGTGTCCGACACTACCCACCATTATTGAACACCAAAACTTCCTTGGGCAATTTTTGGATATGTGCATACAGTTATACAAATGTGACATCAATTATATAATGCATGTTCTAATTTAAAACACACTCCATACACTTTCTGGAATCTGGACCTCTATCGCACTCTTCACATGCACTTCTTTATTCAAATGATATGTTGAGATACCTATTTATTTTCATTTATACACCAAAAACTATAGCTGGTAATGCTAAGCAATTGGCTCGTATAAAATTAAGATTAATATGAATAATACTTTGTATAACATTTTTGAGAGCAAGTAATACTGACTTTGCAAAGTCATAAAAATGTATACAGGTCAAAAGATTAGCGCACAAGAAATTATTTTATATGTCATATTTGCAGAAATAAAGTGTTAAACTCGTGGATACATGAACATGTACATGTACACAAATTACTATTATTATTATTATTATTATTATTATTATATTAGTTACCATGAGCATGTGTCATGGGTGGGTGGGTGGTTGAATAGTGTGTGTCTAATCTCATATCACCTTGTTGCCATGTCCTTTTTGAAGAATTTTTTATATTCAATGTCTATGTTGGGTGTCATCAGCTGAGATGTCACACTGTCACATGTACAGGATGAAATTAAGGGGGGAAGCTTCTCTTTGAAAATCCGCAAAATTTCAAGGGAAATATCAACTAAATAGGCTGGTGTTTAAACTGCAATACTTACGCATCCAGTAGAAGATAATCATCTGTATCAGCCCATAAACCTTGTTGGACCAAGGGTGATGTTAGCTGGTCATACCTGTAAAGTTCAGCAAAAACTTAAGACCCAAAATAAGAATGATATGAAAGTCAAGTCAAAGATACCAAAAAATCAAGACTAGGGAAATTGAAACTAAATTTTATAGTTGATTACAACAACCATCATAAATAAACCTATCAACATCAACATGAGATAATGGACAAGAAAAGATATCACATAAGTGAGGGAGGAGAAAGGCAGGGGGTTGCAGTCGGGATGCAAACGAACCAAATAATTAAGAAATAATTCGACTAACTATTTGGTTATATTCGATTCAGTAATTCAATTAATGATAAACAAATAGTTTTAGTATTCGGTACATAAATGAATAGAATTTAACCATATGCATTTATATTCGTTTGATTATCAAATATTTGTTTAAAGTTTCATCCCTTATAATTTTGTATTATTACTTGGATGATGGTATCTTTTTAGCCCTCTTACCTTTGGTAATTTAATTTAAGTTCTATGCTAATTTTGATCAATGTTTAAAAAAACGAAAGCGCAAGGTGAAGCGAAGCGTAAGCCTCAAAGCGTGAGGCGTAAGCCTCATGAGTTTTAAGTATTGTAATTTTAGAGTTCGTAAAAAATATGAACATATAACATATAATGGTATGATAATTTATAAAAAGGTACATTCATGTCCTCGTTAGTAAGTAAGAATTAAATATATGAAGTATAGATGCAAATCATAATAAACTAATCGGCATACATAACTTGTTTATCTTATTTACACTCACATAGTCATATTGAAGATACATAGGGGCATTCTAATGTTAGTTAAAAATCCTTTTATATCCTCATGTCTAAAGCGCATGCTTCAAAAGAGAAGCGCTTCAAAAGAGAACGTGAAGCGCACACTTCAGTTATGCTTCAAGTGTCAAGTGATGAGGCGTAAGCTTCAAGGGATAAAAAGCTTCTCTTTATGAGTTTTGAAGCGTTTACCCTTCAAAAAGTTATGAAGTGAGTTTTAAAGCGAGTTTCAAAAAAGCTTTTTCAAACATTGATTTTGACAACATACCGAGCTCCATGTTAGTTCAAACCACAAATTGTAGGGTTCAAAATGTCCATCTCCATCTACGATGTGAAACGTGCATAGAAAAAAGATTAGATATTTTAAATGTAAAAATTACCCTTTGAGATAGGGTTTTCATTAATTGTGGATTCATGGCTTCCAATAAACTCAAGAGTCTATCGTCTATTGTCATTAACCCTTTTTTTTGTTAGGTCTCTATTTGCTCGTGTTGACATCCACGCTGAACTCTTCTTATGGCAGCGGCCAAAATATTTTAGTGTTGTGACCTAAGTTGTGGCTATGCCAAAATATCTTTTCGATGATATCAATCACGATCTCTTCATTAGGTGTGGAAATTTTTGATGAATAACTACATTAGTGTCTTCAACTGTTGCTCAACTAAAATATCATATTTGGTGATATTAACAACGAAATCTTCAGTGTTGAAAGAGACTTGCTAAAGAGTTTCAAATGAAGACGACAACTTCTTTTAGTGTAAACCCTTCAAGATGATATCTTGACAGCATATTCTCCTAGTCTCTCATACAAATTTCTTCTTCACACATTTGAATTTCACTAGCGACCTTCATAACCCTTAGCTCTCATAATAGATTAAGAAATTCTCCCTTGATGATAACTTCGGAATTTATTGAGAGCTTGTCTTTGCCCCCAACAATAAGAGTTGTTGCTACCTCAATCTTCAAGGAAGCCATGAGCAGAATTGCTTTTATTGATCGCCATTGACCCCTTCATGTTTCCCAGAGCCAGAGACATCAACAATTAACCAATTGTTGGAGCTTGAATCTTTTTACTCATGAATTTTGTAAAACCATGTTCTCCAATCCTTTTTTTTAACAAAGAGCAACTCCTATAGATTGTAGTTTATACTCATGCACCCGATGAGTAAGGTGTGGATGCAATTTAGACTCGTATCCCCAACAAATATGTAGTCGATCCAGTCTTAGATCCTCCATGGAGTGTACACCAAAATAATGTGTTGAAGATCTAGTCTTAGATCCTTCATGGAGTGGCGTCTTTATTTTTTATTTTCATTTTTTTTACTTGTGTTCAAATCTTGGGCAAGAGCAATATCTTAATGAGTTTCTTGATCAGTAAATGACAAGCTCTGATTAGGGCTCAGGTGTTGTAGACACTCTTCGTAAAAGCCCCGACCATCTCGCCACACTGTTCAAACTTGGATTTGATTTATGACAGAATGATCTATATGAATTGTTGAACATTACAAGATTGATCTTTATTTCCTAAAGTTTTTATTTGCTCTGGACTTATGATTTTGTCCTTTTTCTACGTGCATCAATTTATTGATGCAATACATGAAGACATCTTCCTGAAGACAATGTCGGTTGCCTCCTCGAAAACATCAATCGAAGATCCTCTTTTCACCCGTCAAATGGACTACTTCCTTTGCAGATTTAGGATCATTTCATTCTTCAATTGCAAACCCATGAGATGATGCTCTCTTCGCAAGTTTTTTAAAACTTTAAATCACGGGTTTCTTTTCTCTAAGTTCAAACCATTTTTTGATGACAACTTTAAAATTTTGTTGATAGATAATCTTTTACCCCTAGAGAAAAGAGTTGCAGGCAATTTTCGTGGAGCCCATATTTGTGAGTGAATAATCCCAACCCCAAGGTGAACGAGCATTGACATCTATGCGTGATGTGGAGCTGCGCTTGTTAATCACCAGTAACTCCTTCATGTATTCGAAGGCCGGAATATCATCAACTATTAGAACATGAAATTTTTTGTTGAGTTTCTTTTGGTTTTGGATATGTATATCGGCCCAGAGATGTAAGGTCCCACAAGACATGCTAAAATTTTGTAAACTTGAAATATCTAATCATTGTTCTATGCATGTTCCGTATCATAAGCAGATATGGACATATTAAACCTAGAGATGGACATATTAAACCCAACCCAAATAGCAATATCTTTTTAATTACATTGTTTCATACTCATAAACTATAAATTCAACGAATAATATTCACAAGTATTCAAAAATTAGTTGTATTCGAATTCTAAGAAATTCAGAGAATAATATTAGAATTTGATAAGTTTAACAAATACAAATATGAACACCATGTTATTAGCCCTAGTTATAGGAATTGAGAAGTCATTTGAGAGTAGTTAATATAGTCATCACATGGACTTCAAACTTGATGGAACAGTTAGCATTATTAGTTTACTTAAGGGTGTGTTTGACAGCTGAAAATTAAATGGAAAGTGAAACAAAAAATAGAAAGTTACTCCATTTTCTATGTTTTCCTATTTGGCAATTGGAAAGTGTCTCAAAAGTAAATAGAAAGTGAAGGATGTCACATCAACTTTTCAGCCCCTTTCACTATCTCAAAAATTTTGAAAATGTGAATGGAAAGTGAGCAAAGAGAAAAAAGAAAGGAATTTTTATTCTCTCTCAGAGTAATTTCAATTTTAATATTCACTTTATATTGACTATTTTTTATGACAACCCAATAGGACTAGAAGTGACCGTCACATTAGCTACCACCCCAAATTTCCATATTTTCACTTCCTATGATCAAACACGATTTGTATGTAGAAACAGAAAAGTACTTTCTTAAGAAAGTATATTTTCTTCACTTTCTACTTTCAATTTATATCCTAGTTGTCAAATACCCCCCAAAAACTTCATCTCTTTGTTAAAAATCCAAATAGCTTTATCTACTTCTTTATTACTAAAGTAGAACAACAAAAAAGTTTTGATGAATAGTAAAATAACCACCTAAAATAACCACCAAAAAAATACTTCCCCCTCATTATAATAACTTCCCCCCATTATAATAACTTCTCTCTGACATCCCATTATAATAACCCTCCACCCCACACCTAAAAAAATACTCCCAATTTTTAGTAACAAATAAAACACTTCCCCTTCCTCCCCTCTTTGCCCTCTCCCCGAACACAGCGAGGTCTCCGTCCCCATCTCCTCCTCCTCCTCCGCCCAATCCCCCGTCGCCTCCTTCAAAGACCGCCTCATCTTCGGCGACCCTCACAAACTCTTCTGAAA